CTCGCAGAGTGTTATACATGAAGCAGTAAGCCTGTCTCTTATACACATCTAGATGTGTATAAGAGACAGATATAGTATAGGCCTTTAAAAATATTATAAAATCATTATCATTATTATGATATCGAGGATCATGAATGATGAAAATTATAATGAAGATAGTCATTGTGGGTATATGTACATTTTGATGATGGCGATGATACTGACGATATTGATTATAATTATTGATAATGATAACGATTACTATAGATGGTGATAATTAAGTAAGGCCCTGTCCAAATTTACGGCTTTGAGGCCAACACCAGAGTGTCCACGACAATGGCCTATTCACATGCGCACGTGTGTCACTGTCGGACACGACAAAAAGTGCTTGGAAATCGAAATGGAAACGTTGAAATGATAACAAAGAGCATACACAGATGAAGGTTTTATTAAAGTGGATATTTGGTTCGGCTGACGACGTTAACATAATGATCAAGTAATTTGCATTTGTATCGAACACTTCAATTGGAAACTAGGCGGTAAGTGTCTTATTGATTCGGACACACATCCTGGTGGTTTAAGCAGAAGGCATTCGCCTAATAATGTATTGCAACTTATTAGTAAATTTACGGTAAAAATAGTAACAGACTGACGAAATAATAATAAAGACCCTTGACGCATTGCACACAACATCTATGTGTGTATGTTATGTTATCTAAAAATGTAATTTGTGTATAAAATTCTAGTATTACCCGGTACCGATCAAACCTAAGCCGACTTGGTCAAAACATTTTATAGTGCAAATTTCTCGAAAATCTCGAAAATATTGGTTTTTATTATAACAACATGCGATACCGTATACATAGATGGCACATACAACAGATTACTAAAAACGTTTATAAACGCCTTTTCACACGTAGTCTCAGTTATTGTTTAGTTTTCCACCAATCACCAAGTCTCGCACCCAAACCAGGCCCGTAGTCAGGTTCTTCCGAGAAAAGGCAGGGGGGGCCTGCCCAAGCCCCCCCCCCCCCCCCCGATGAGCTGGGGAAAAGGCCCCAAAGCCAGAGCGATGTTTTATGGGTCTAAATGCTAAAAGCAGTTATGTTTTTAAATGTTCTGCAGCAAAACATTCTGTCTGAGTCTGAGTGGGTCTGCAGTGCATTCAATGGGTTGGGACGTTCAGGAAATTCTGGGGGAGGGGGTTGCCAGAAAGGGGAAGAGGGTTTCGCTAAGAAAAGGGGATTCTCCCGAACAATAAAAAAACCCCCTGGCTATGGGCCTGCAACATATAAGTATTTTCGGCAGATTCTCCTGAAGACGAAACGTCGAGACATTCAACGGTTTTCAGAACTATCTACGTGGTGTACCGCAAGCATTAATACAATTTTGTAGTCATTGTGACACTACATAATTTACTAACTGTTTCGTTCGAGCTCTGCACACTCGGTGTTTTCTTGTCGCAGAAAAACATATAGGGTACTTTTCATATTCGTAAATTTAACATAACAAAATCGGGCTATAAGCAAATTTTATCGAATTTGAAGGTAGATTGTATTAAATTACATAACATCATGTTACAGTACTTGCGTCAGCTAAATTAAAAAGTATATTATTAAGCCTGGACGTACCTGGGAGGAAGAAATGATTTTTCCAAGACACAACTCGGTCGGATATGAGATACAAATTTTTTGAAAATTAAAAACTACGGGAAATGAAAAAAATGGTGATTACGCCCCCTCCCCATAGTTTTCAAATATTAACCGTTCCCATCACAGCTTTTTTTTGTACTAGAAAAAGTAAAAAGTAACCTTTCCTGTCACTTTTTTTTTGTACTAGAAAAATAAATTCAACAACATATCCAAATGTTTTTTTCCTCGTTTGGAGCCTGCTTGAAGTTACTTAGTGCATTTTTTGGTCATCCATTTTTACTGACCATATTTGGATCCTTAAATTACACTCCGAGAAGATACAAACAAGAACATCCATATCTTAGCTTTGTTCTTTGTCCTTCTTTTCGTTATTACGCCATATCTCAGTCAAGAGGGCGCACTGTTTCTTCACCATACCAATACTTCAGACTCGCAGCGTGTTATACATGAAGCAGTAAGCTGTCCTTTAATTTCTCTCTTTCACGATTAAAAACTGCACTAATATTAGACCCTATTTTGTCTTACTTTTATAGTATCACCTCTTATGCATTTATTTATCTCAGGAACATTAATAGGTGGAACTTTACATTTTTAATATAAATCAAGTTAAATTTCCAAATTTCTACTAACTTACATGTTAACATATAGACCGTCTCACACAGCTCATTACAAAAGCATGTATTATTTCCGGTTTTAAAGATGTATTGTCCCTTGAAAATGACAAAAAAAATAAAAAAAATTATTTTGAAATTATCTTGCTCATTTTGTAGTAACATACAAATTATTAACTTGAGCACAGAAATTATTTAGTTTAAAAAAAATTGTACCCTGATTTTTAAACTGGATAATTCTAAATAACAACTCCCTGATTATAACAAAGATAATAAAACACTTTCAGTTTCTATCATTTTCGCTGTAAAATGATGGGTAAACATTTTTTTAATACACTAATGTCTGTGTTCAAGTTGACAATTTTTATTTTACTTCGAAATGGGCAAAGTAATTTTGCAAGAGACAACTACATCTTTAAACATAGGCCTAAATTACCTATGTGGATTCAACACAGACAAAAATGAAATCACTATCTTTATCTACTATAAATTATTTTATTGAAAAAAAAACATTTGCATAAAAATTCTCAAGAGCCTGTCAATTCAAGCAATAAAATGCACTTCCATCGAGCATAATAAACCTCCATGAGAATGTACTGAAATGTAAAGGTCTCTTAAGCTGGGCACGATCACTGCATCATATGACCGTCAGTTGACAAATCTAACTGTGTTCCCTGTTAACATGTTAGACAACGCGACGCTGTCTCCTGATTGGCGGTGGCAGTCTAAACCAGGGGTGGATCCAGTAAGTGGGCACATGTTTTACTCACTTATCTATTCTAAATATGTTGTGCCCGCCCCCATGCCCCGTTTGAAAAATTCTGGATCCGCCCCTGTGAACGGACTTTCATTAAAAATGATCCGTTTTGCACGCGTCGTGGCGTTAGGTTCTCCATAGAATCGTGTTGGTTGACGACCGTAGGGAGCAGTGATTGGCTGACATAAGACACCGCAGGTCTCCCATTAACTTATATGCTTAAACTACTCAGCTGACGGATGTGTGCACACTGACGCTTTTGAATAACTGTATACTTGTTTTTGTTTAGTTTTTCAAGTTGTTTTGTTCATCAAATAATGATGCCTTCATAAAATTGCAGAAATTATATATTACATAAGATTAATGTACAGCCTGCTAAGCTTGTAAAAAATATTTGCCAGTATAGAAGTCAGTGTCTATGGTATCTATTATAGTTAATGTTGATATAATACAAAATTAACTGTTCATTATCAACTAACTAATTAATCAGTCAAAACAACATGGTCATTTATTTACAATCTATGGAAATCCAGTTCCTTGATCAATAAATGGTTCAATACACAGTAAATGCGGGCAAGCATGCAGCTACATGCAACTAGGTAGAACTAGTCGCCAAAAGCGACTAGATTAGACTAGATTTATGGGGTTAAAAGACTGTCACATGGCCATTCGCTTCTCAGCTGCTTTGAATCGCAGTAAAAATGAACATGGGCAACTGGGAGAGCGATCTACAGCTGTTGACATTTTCTGGCAAGTTGCCAAGATTCGACCATGACGTTAGTTGATTTGAGTGAAATTGAAAGGGTGACAGAAGCTTAGGTTTAAAGACAGTAGCATATCCAGGATTTTGAAAAGGAGGTGCTGAATAGAAAAATTACATCAACTGAACTTGACGTAAGGCACAAAATTAGGGACGTATTAAACACAATAAGAACATTGAGGGCAGTACACTTTCCTCAGCCCTCATGCCTTAGATTCAAACCCAAGTAGATATTTTAGAGTTGTTGATGGCTTAGGTTCAACAACCATTACATTCAATAAACATTTGTATAAAAAGCATCTCACTTTTAAAGTTACATTTTTCCCTCTACAAAAATTAGATCATGATAAGCACTTGCAGTCTTGGAAAACATTTATGGTATGAAAATAAACACCCTGTAAACGTATACAATATTTCATTATTTTTCTTGTTAGCAAAATTAAACAGCTTAACTCAGCTGTTTTGTGGCAAAACAACGTAACTTGAAATTTTCACTTTTCGAGAAAAATGTTTGCAAATTGGCAATAAATTGTTGTACCCTTCTGAAATTTTGCAGAACTACATATTTATAGACATTATGATTATATAAAATTTTTTAATTGCAACCGTTTGTTAAAGTTATTAACGATATTTACAGATACGTTGTTTTACCTCGGAAATGCAGTATTGTCGTGAGTGTGATATATTTTTGGGATTAATTATGTTTGAGGCAATCATATGCATTATTTAGCTTATGCATACATCGTTGTTAATATTTATTGATATGAAAACACCATCAACTATTTGAACTTGCCAAACTCCATCAGCTCAAAACAATTTTTAAATAAAATTCCGAGGCAAAACAACGTATGTTTATCATAGATATGTTGTTTTGCCTTTGCAGTTACATTGTTTTACCATGGAAAATCACTAGATTTTAAGTTTTATGCTTAAAGATAGGTGGTGCTATTTTCGAATCTACCTAAAATTTTCATAGGTAATTCAGAAGTGTTTAATATCTGTCTCTTATACACATCTGAACTAGTCGCCAAAAGCGACTAGATTAGACTAGATTTATGGGGTTAAAAGACTGTCACATGGCCATTCGCTTCTCAGCTGCTTTGAATCGCAGTAAAAATGAACATGGGCAACTGGGAGAGCGATCTACAGCTGTTGACATTTTCTGGCAAGTTGCCAAGATTCGACCATGATGTTAGTTGATTTGAGTGAAATTGAAAGGGTGACAGAAGCTTAGGTTTAAAGACAGTAGCATATCCAGGATTTAGAAAAGGAGGTGCTGAATAGAAAAATTACATCAACTGAACTTGACGTAAGGCACAAAATTAGGGATGTTTTAAACACAATAAGAACATTGAGGGCAGTACACTTTCCTCAGCCCTCATGCCTTGGATTCAAACCCAAGTAGATATTTTAGAGTTGTTGATGCCTTAGGTTCAACAACCATTACATTCAATAAACATTTGTATAAAAAACATCTCACTTTTAAAGTTACATTTTTTCCCACTACAACAATTAGATCATGATAAGCACTTACAGTCTTGGAATACATTTATGGTATGAAAATAAACACCCTGTAAAAAGTATACAGTATTGCATTATTTTTCTTGTTAGCAAAATTAAACAGCTTAACTCAGCCCTTCCAAGGCAAAACAACGTAACTTGAAATTTTCACTTTTCGAGAAAAATGTTTGCAACTTGGCAATAAATTGTCGTACCCTTCTGAAATTTTGCAGAACTATATATTTATAGACATCATGATTATATACAAATTTTTAATTGCAACCATTTGTTAAAGTTATTAACGATATTTACAGATACGTTGTTTTACCTTTGAAATGCAGTATATTCGCGAGTGTGATATATTTTTGGGATTATATAATTATGTTTGAGGCAATCATATGCATTATCTAGCTTATGCATACATCGTTGTTAAGATTTATTGATATGAAAACACCATCAACTAGTTGAACTCCATCAGCTCAAAACAATTTTTAAATAAAATTCTGAGGTAAAACAACGTGTGTTCATCATAGATATGTTGTTTTGCCTTTGCAGTTACATTGTTTTACCATGGAAAATCACTAGATTTTAAGTTTTATGCTTAAAGATAGGTGGTGCTATTTTCGAATCTACCTAAAATTTTCATAGGTAATTCAGAAGTGTTTAATATACACCCGAATGATATCTCAAAATCCAAAAAAATGTTAGTTACGTTGTTTTGCCTTGGGATGGCCGAACTAGCATACATTATTTAGTATGTTTAAACTCAACATAAGCTCATATTGCTATGAGGTATTTAGATAACCTATATAACATACACATAAATACACCAATTTCCCCAAACTCACACATCACACAGTATAGCCAGTATTAATATACATAGTTAATTAATATTAAAGTAAAATTTTTATAAAAAAAAAACGTTCAGGAAAAATGGCAAATGGCAAAAAATTGGCGTTGATGTAAACGTGATGTAATCTAGGCTTGAAACACAGTGGCGGTTGAGTGATCCATCGTCGGAATTCCCAGGCGTTGACTCACAACTTCCATCATGATGTTGACCATCCCGGTGAGGTCATATTGATGACCCCAGCCCCAGTCACTTCGGGCTCCTGAATCGTCAAACACTTGCGGCCATGAGTCAGCTAAAATAAATATATAAGTCGGAATTAATTGATTTGATTAAAAGATCAGTACCAATGGGCCCAACATCCATCAAATTAATAAACTGCTTATTTGGAATGACCAAAAAGTTACCAAGTTCAAGAAAATAGACAAATGTTTGTGCTAACGCGAGAATATTTATATACCTTGTTTCGCGAACTTATTTTTTAAAAATCGTCAGAGGAATGCGGAAAAAACTAAAAAAAATGTTTGTTTTCCTATTTAGAAAATAGTTTTGTCAAAAACATCTAGATGGAGGAGAAAATAAAAATAAAATTATATTGGTGAATGTAGACAGTGTAGTAATGGGATGGTTAAATGCTGTATACATATATTTTGGGGTGATTTAAAAGGCAGCGGTGGGCATAATAAAATTTAAAAAAAAATTTTTTTTCTTCTGAAATTTCCAATTTTTTGTGGTGGCAGGTGCACTAATTGGCCAAAACTTTATTTTTATTTATTTATTTATTTATTTTTTTAAATTTTTTAAATTTTATTTTTATTCAAAATCATCATTATAGGCGGGTGAAGGGTTCGCTAAACAAGGTATAAAAAAAACTTTTGTCTAAGCTTACATGTTGCCTTTAAGTCTCAACTAGTTGCTTGTAACACACGTGACATGTGCAACCACTCAGAACTCGGTAAAACTAGTTTCCCAGAGTGCTTATGTTGCTTCTGAGTACTATTAGCTACAACAAGTTGATGTGCAATGCTACCATAAGTAGACACATTGTAATAGCGAACCCAGAAAATGCTTGCAATAACAGTATAGATTATCAATGTAACATGACAAATTGAATTATCGTCTGTAAGTTGCTTTGGATTGCACTGAAATTAGACATGGGCAACTGAGTCAAAATGAGTAGAACCGGTCAATCTTTTTAGCTTTTTGATCAAAACAGTGCTTATTTCTCCTTAAATCGTGCGACTGAAAATATTCCCTTAAGGCCAACACGCACAGCGTCCAAAAACACAGTCAGACGCGCTTTATCGTGGGGCACAGTCTTTAGATTATTCCAGGATGTATTTGTCCTCGACCATGGACCTACCTCATATGCATTTAACTCACACAGACCTGACGTGACAACAAATCGTGTTGGGCTATGTCATACTGCTGAATATTTGAACTTACCGATGGCTTGTCTCACAGGATCAACATCATAATTCATTACCAACTGAGGAATATGCTTTCGTATTTCGCTCACAAGTTCTTCTGGATTGAAACTAAATGCTCCTAAATTGTATGTTCTTAATTTCAGCTGGCTTTGTGGTGCTTCCAACATCTCTGTGATGCCTCGGAGGCAGTCATCAATGTAGATCATTGGTAACTTGGAGTCAGGACGGAGGTAGCATTCAAACTTGCCAGTTTTCAGAGCTTCATCAAAAATAGACACAGCATAATCTAATGAAAAAATGACATACAAAATTTAACTGTTGCATGCCCATACGTAGCCATGATGTGCCTATAGGGTCATAATGTGATGTCATCATGACCATATTTAGGCTTCTCACATGTTTTTGTCATATGAAATTTGATAGTTTGGACAGGACTTTAGACTAATGCTCTGTTCATAGGCAAAGCAATGTAATAATATAAGGGCTTAATGACATCATATAATAATAACAATAACAATTGTTCGCAGGTATCCATCTGAAAGATGCTCATGGCATTTTAACATGACAGTACACTTCATAGCTTAAACTACACTCAATATTTTCTATAATTTATCCCACAGCTTGGCTACGGTGCGCTGCAAAAATTATTTACATTATATTCGAGTATGGTGATACCATTCTACATCCATATATGTATGAATCTCAGATAAGTAACCTAAAACTTGGTGTGAACAGAACTTTTGATTAAAAAGTGTTAATATAAATATCATTCATAAACAAATAATAATAATATATATATATAATTCAAATTCATCTTTATTGCAATCATAAAATAATATATAGATTGGATATTACAATATAATAAGTCACCTAAAACTTGGTGTGAACAGAACTTTTGATTAAAAAGTGTTAATATAAATATCATTCATAAACAAATAATAATAATATATATATATATAATTCAAATTCATCTTTATTGCAATCATAAAATAATATATAGATTGGATATTACATTATTAGTCAAAACAATTAAATACATTCACAAAAAAAAAAAAAAAAAAAAAAAAAAAGGACATGTACATTCAAAATAGGTCAAAAATACATTACATAAAAAAGATATATAAAAAAAAAATAAACCAAAAACCGGAAGATTACTTAAATATGAAATTTTAAAAATAGATACAAAAAATAGAACAAGAATTATTATTTATTAAAATAGAGACATAATTATATTTATTTTAAAAAATAGATATGAAAAAGGCCCAAAGGAAATTTTTGAATGCATTAAATCTAAACTAAGTATAATAATTTTCCGTTAGTGTACGATGCATGCTCTACTAATTGTTTTACAAGTCAATCGCCGTCTTTTAATTTTAGTTTTTGATAACCAAATGTTGTAGCAGTCATTGGTTGCTATAATAATATGATCAGTATACTGTGTGCGTATTTACATTTAGCTGTGCATATGCTGATTTGTGCTCCTGCACATGAACCTAAAAAAATCAAGCCAAGCGTCCACTAATTGAAAAATTAGTGGACTGCAGGGGATAGGCAAATAACACTGGGAGTTACAGTGATGACATCACGATTGACTTATAAAACTTGTTAGCATGGACAGACATTTAAACATTGTTCACCTGTCGTTCCGCCACCTGGCTTTGTATCACCTGATATTACACCTGGAAGTCTCAAACACCTGAAGTCCAGCCCAAACCGATGGTTGTAATACTAAAAAAAAATCAAAAACATTTATACATTTTAAAAAAAGCATGAAAATGTAAGATATGAAATGTCTTTGGGATTAAACACCTTTTGCATTCACTACAGCACCTTCTATCAGCAAATTTTTCTTATTCTGTACTGTAAAATTACCCCATCAGCCGCTCAAGTCTTTAATTATACTGTGTACTGCCTGTATTGAGTCTTTATGAGCTTCAGTACAAAATAAGAACAAGAAAATATTTCCCTCGCCAAGTGACCCACTCAAGCAAAGAAAAATGACATTAATAGATCTTTCTAGAGGTCAAAAGCTAATAATTGATGCAAAAATGGTTAAAAACAGACAACAAATGGCAAAGATATAAGTTATATTTCTACAGTAGTCCACCATGCATTAAGATGGTCAATACATGGAAAATTTAGCTGATTTGAAACCTTTAGTTTTTGACAATGACTGCCTGGTTTTAGTAAAGTCTGTCACATAACAGATGCATAAATTGGTTTGTTCTATGGCATGGAAATCAATTTAAGAATTTTTGCAGCAAATAGTCTTGAAGTTAGCAGCAGCTATTTGTGTCACATTGGATGTTGAAAACTAATTTTTCAATAAGCCAGTTCATCAGGGGTGGATCCAGAATTTTTCAAACGGGGGGGGGAGGGGGGGGGGGGGGGGGCACGGGGTAACTATAGTCTCAGATAAGGTAAGTGAGTAGCACAAATCATTGATTTGCATTTTAAAATTTGGTCAATTGACATAAACAAACACAACATAGGTTTATGTTGACTGACCTTGAATACCACTGGTTATGACTGGCTTATTTAATTGTTGAGGTTTTTTCCAATTTCACCACAGAATAGTATTGACTAACAAAGTTTTTCACATCCTTCTTGTAGGGAAAATCCCCAAAAAACTACAGTAATATAGTAACCAGGAAAAATGAAAATGTTTTACTTTCAATGTTAACAGTTCCAAGGCAAGCCAGTTGGTGATATTCTCTTTTCATTATAAAAAAAAAAAAAAACATAATGTAGAAGGTTACTTTGTTTACTTAGTTGTATTTCATTAAGTACATTATTAACAAATTTCTTTTATGTTTATTAATATTCTAATTAGATTTAAAAAAAAAGCTAAAAACCATGGAAACCCCAGTCCTAAAAGTGGTCTTAATTTGAGGTGGGCATGTATTGTTTTGTATTTACTGTACACTCTTCTGACCATTTACAAATTAAATAATAGTACAAATGATTATATATAAAAATAAACACAGAAATGTCAGTAGAGTATATACAGTTTGCCCTCAAATCGAAACCACCTTTTGGTCCTGTAATTTTATGGGTGGTCTCAGGCTTCAGTCTACACTGAGAGGGTTAGCTTTGCATTAAAAGATTACAGATTGTTATTTTGATTCTTTGAAAATGTGGTCTTAATTATAGGGGCTACGGATTTAGAGGAGTCTTGAATATGGAGGGTGCACTGTACTATAATTGTTTTGTTCTTTATGCCATACCTTATGAAATTATTATACTTAGAAATGTCATAATACTGTCAACACCGACAGAGACTATCCCTCTTCGTCTTACATACAGTAGCTTACCTCTCCCATTAATTCTGCATGTACTTTTGAAACACCGTATATCGTCCTAGGACGTTGAATTGTTAAATCAGGTGTAGGATCACGAGGAGAGTCGGGCCCGAAGGCACCGATCGTACTTGGACAGAATAGTCGCAACTGGTACATCTTAGCGAGTTCCATAATGTTGTGGAGACCTTGAATGTTGACTTTGATAGCCAGTGGAACATCCTGCATTGAATAATTTAATTTTTATTATTTTATTATTTTTAATACCATTCCACACATAATTCAATTAAAAGTTAATCAGTAGGCGTGTACAAGGGATGGAAGTTAAATGTTTTGTTTAATTTTAAGGGCATTATACAGTAAGCAAATGCACTGACGAAGGTTCAAAACCATATACCATTGCCCTAGGGGAGACAAAACTGTCCCACTGGGCATCTGGCAAATTTACAGCAGTGGCCAGGAAAAAGGAAGAAATGTCTGGTAGAAATTCAGAGTCAGCATTTTAAAATTAAATTTTCAAAGTTTCTGAATAATTTTTTTCTTTTTTTAATGTACTTTTTGTATCATTTTTTTAATTACAAAAATCATTTTGTAGGAGTGTGTGGTGCAAGTGTTGGACTTCTGATTGGGAGATCGGGAGTTCGAGATAGATGCTCGTCGCATTGTTTGTGTCCTTACATTTGCCTCGCTCTACCCACGACTATAAATGGGTACTTTGCAGGATGATATGGCATTGAATGTATGGTTTGTGCGCGGAGCAGAGAGCAGAGAAAGTTGCACAATGTGCGGATCTGCCAATTCAGTATCCAGGGACCAGGAAAATATGGAGCCAGCGCCTTGTATAATCACCTGCGGATTGTGAAAGCCGCTATATAAATTCCGAAAAAAAAAAAATCTTCATGCAGTCTTGTTCAAACCAGAATATGTAATATTTGTATTAACAAAAAGAAAGAGATTAATATGTTAAGTACCATACGGCTAAATTGTTCAGTATCAATTTAATGGATGACATATTGCAAATATACATTATTTACCTGTTCACCAACAGCGCTCAGGAGAGCACTAAAATGAATAAGCCAGTCTATGTTGTTGTTGACTATAATTTCTTGTAGATTCTTAAAGTCTAGGATATCAGCATACAGGTATGGACCTGAAATCAGACAATAACCACATATTTAAAACATTTTTTTGCCTCTGGAAATTCCATAGGATTGATGTTTTGCCCTACTTGACGTGTTATCATACTGAATAATAATTACGTTCTAAAATACTTGTGACATTGAAAACGATAACAAAAACAATTGGATCAAGCCCAACTAGCACACATAAGGCCTAAAAACAATGTTCGTTTGCCCTTTAATGCTGAAAATTGTATAGGAGGGGCAGCCGCAAAAAAGTTTTTTTTCCTGCTGTCACCAAAATTAACATACTAAATCGCAATGCTTGCAATTAAGCCTGTCTCACTATTTGTTTTTCAAAACGTATTCATCAGACTGAATAAAAATAACCATAATCAATATTTTGCAATGAATTTAGGGCTAGAATGGTGATCAGTTACATTAGACACCAAATTTAAACATTAACTTTCAAGCGCACAGCGGAGAAAAATAATGATCACTTTCTTAAATTTATGAACGAAAATCGAAAAAAAAAAATTTTTTTTTAAATGCCGCTTGTATTTTTTAATGAGCTAGGGGTGGGTGCTGTAGGGCAAACGAACAATTTTTTTAAGGCCTAATAGGCAAAATAAAGAATAATGCACAGTATATAAAACACAAGCACTCCTTAAGTCTCTTTATAAGAAGTAAGTCTGTTTTTAGTTGTGAGGAGAAAATCATGGTGTCACAGGATTTGAACCCTGGAACCAGGGATTGAAAGGTTTGGGTTATGTAACAGGATGCAGCAACATTACAGGAAATCAAACATACTGCACACTTACAACAACAGAACATTAAAACATCAACAAATCTACCATGAGATTTATCCACATAAATTATGTATGATAATGGTAAATATAAATACTGTAGTCTCATTCTACAATATGCAATGAAATACAATATTATTCATGCTTGACCACACTGTTAATACAGTATGAGAATTTTATCAACACTAAAAAGAATACTATAAAAATATGTTATAGTTTTCATAAGAAAAACTAAGTATTTATAGGAAATGTGACTTAACGGTCACAGCGCTTTCCTTCAATTACATGGTCCTGGGGACAAATCTTCTAATTACATTGGGCATGAGTAAAATTGACTTGGGGGAGCTTGCACTTGTTTTTCCCTGTGTTTCCTCTCTAGTTAGTTCATAATAAATATATATCTAAGAATTATAATATTTAAAAAAGAAAAAAATAAAAAAATAAAAATAAATAAATAATAATAAAAGAAATGCTGAAAAAGCTGCTGCTTTTTGCAGGTGGAAATGGCTCCGCGACAAGGTCTCTGATATGGATATGCGCTCCTTATAAGATGTCATTATTATTTATTTTAAAATTAATTTTATAGAGTACCAATTTAGCTTATAGAATTTAGAAAAGAAATCTCTATAAGATAAGCTTATAGAGATTTCTTTTCTAAATTTTTAATATGTTTTTACCTTGAAAGCATTGTAAAGTTTTATTTTACAGAGCACCAAAATGTTTTTTATTTAGTTTATTAAAAATCATATTTTTTTAGATTTTGTATTTTAATTTGAATTACAAAAAAAAAACAAAGCCAATTAAACATGCTCTGCTATGTTTTATTTTCTAGGCATCTTTTTTCTTGAATTTTTATTTTGGTTTATCAAAAAATAAATATTAATAACTATAAATAAAAAAAAAATATTCCAATAAACGACAGTCATGTAATAATACAACAATTAATAAGATTTGTATACATTTGTATAGTCTCAATGAAATCAATTCAAGGAAAAATAATTAAGTTATATTACTTGGGAAAAAATAATCCAATTAACTAAACTACAAAATATCCTTGAATCTATCCTTGAACAGTATCATCAAAGAACACCGACAATGCAGAGGCAATTTCCTATGATTTTTAGTTTATACATCTCCAATATTAGTATGATTTTTAGTTTGTTGAAATAATAAATAATAAAATAATATATTACTATTATTATTATTATTATTATTATTATTATTATTATTATTATGTAAATAAAACCTATTTTATGGGGAACTTAGACAATAGAGAAATTAGAGAACAATTAAAAAAATGATGTTAACGGGAAAATAACACAAAAATTATTCCCCTTAAGTCCAACTTAGCATTTATTATTATTATTATTATTATTATTATTATTATTATTATTATTATTATTATTACTATTATTATTATTACTTACTTGGTGAAATCATATATTTTGTTTTGTCGATTTTTCCAAATTAAATTTTAAAAGTAAATTACTGCGAACATTGTCTTGACCTTGTTCTTTAGTCGGATTACCTTTAAGTACTTAGGCTGTAGTCTAGTCATGAATTTGGAAGGAAGTGGCTTAGCGGCAACTATTTAACAAAGTAAGCATAAACTAAGTATATAAATTTAAATGTGATTTCTGAACAAGCACTTCACAAAAACATGATGATATACAGCAAAATATGAGACAAAATAATTAAAATCAAACCAAATCAAATTTACTTTGTCAGGATGTTTTTATAAAATGTATTGCATATTGATACAAAACATATTCTGTAGAAAAATGCCTGTATGTAATGTAAAAGTATACAAAACATACAAATTATGAGGATTAGGCCAAAATAAAAAAGTAAATAAATAAAACAAAAATTATATTGTCCAAGAAATGCTAATCAAAATCAATATATTCTATATTTTAAAGCAATGATTTCACCAACCAGGAGTAATATATATTGTAGGCCTATTGAAAATGATTCATTTTAACACTATTTTTTTTTCTACATGAAATTGAAAAGAAAAAAAAAATTTTTTTTCAATATTTTGGGGTGTGATTCACACTTCTATTACTGTTGTAGTTCAGACGGAGTAGGTAATTCACACTAAGTATAACCAAACCTCATGCTAAGTTCAGAGAAATAATTAAACCTTTATGATATCCAAAAAGAGTCAAGGATTCTGTTCTACCACATGTTGAGTTTGAACTTTATTATTCATAATGGATTATACAAATACATTTTAAACAGAATGAATTAATTATGCTTTGATTATTAACTTTAATGAATTATCATTATAATTGGAATTTTTTTTATCAGTGCATCAACTTGACCTGATCAAGAAAATGAACGCCCCCCCTGCCCAATGATGAGTTCCATTATCCTGTTGACTCGGGAGGTACCTGTTAAGGGTCAAGCCTTGCGTGACAGGTATTCATTCATTCTTTTAGAAAAATAAAATACAAAAAGATCTCTCTCAATGGCTGTGTTATGTCAACCATTCTCATGGTCAATGACAGCCAAAATGTCAAAAAACAATGTCCACCTGGTTCTGCCTGACAAGTTAAAATATATATTACTGTGCTATGAGGAAATATAATCGGTTGACAGTTTATATTACACTATAGTCAGTGGCAGCACCAGATAATTCCCTGCAAAATGTCTAAAGGACCCCGACAGGGGGTGCATCAACAAGAGGCCCATGGTCCCCAAGATGCTAGTCCACACCCACCTTAGCCCCACCATGGTTGAAGCAAAATTTAAGAACAGGCATCTTGCATGGAAAGGGTGTTCCAGATGGTAAAAAAAAACGTTTTTAAAACAGTGTTCATGACAGAAATGATAGGCTTCTTTATTGATGAGAGTGACACTGGGTCTCATCGACAGGGTTCCTACATCCCCCCTTCCTGGATTCCTACATCCCCTTCTTCCTGGATCCCTACTGGTGCTATCACTGCACTTACCCAAAAATCAAAAAATAAGAAATGAAGTAGCAGCAAAGATTTTGAATGGGAATTGTGGTAGGGAGGAGTTGAATGTCAGCACACATACACAGCAGACTGTAAGATACCATCCCCAATTAATTAGATCTTTAATCACTAGAGTTTCAACTGCCTACCAACTACTGTAGGAACATCAATCATTGAATCAACTACAGTATAGTACAGACATCTATATTGCACACATTAATATACAATATAATTATTAAATTTTCAAAAGGATAATTACAAAAACTAAACTCAAAAAAATGTTTTTTTCAAGGTTGCAGGTGCCAGACTCACTTTCAATAAAATTACACAATGCAAGCATGGGCAGTTTCAAATTGCAACATAAAATGTTTTTTTATGAAAAGGTTCTCAACAATCTCAAATAATAAAGAAAGAATGTATCAAAATATTATGCAGTATTTTATATAGAATAGACAAGACCATTTTTATGTTTTGTATAGTTTCTCAGTTGTATTCCGTGTTTTCCATCTGTTTACTTGATCGTGTTTCATATATGGAAAATTTATAAATCCTGTTGTTAACAAAGACTGCTTTATGTTACTGATGATCCCTGTGTCAATTGTTTTTGATTTAACTTTACTACTTAATAAAATTCAAAAAATCAATCAATTAATTAATCAGTCAGTCAATCAATAAATCAATCAATCAACCAAATAATCAGTTTTCATTTAATTAATATTTTACAAACAACATTATACTTACCACTGTCTATGATATGCTTAGGAGCCTTAATAATATCTGACATAATCACATTATCTTGTCCATATTTTTTCCGCAAAACACGAGCCAATCCCTGTCCAAGTTGACCTAGTGACCCTAAAATATAAAAACAAATTAAAAATGTTTGCACATTAAACCAAAATTGAATTTCAAATGTTGTTTTTTTAATTGAGGTACTGTATAGTCTAAACTATAGAATTTAGAGTTTATTTCTATTAACGATTTCCACAGTGATTCTCTAAGGACATCATTAATTTTTATATTAATTTTTACATTAAAGCCTTTATTTTTTCATTATAAAAATTGTTTATATAATTAGTTATATACTTTGCAGTCAAAGAAAATATTCCATAAATGCAGTTAGTTTATGGTCATTTGTATTCTTGAATTTCTGTAAAACAATGAGGTATAAAAATAAGGTATTATTTTAATATCTCCTTGCTATACAGTAATTAGTGAAAAAAGATTTCATTTTGTTGACAACCCATAAAAGTGGTATATACTGTATATACAAGATATAAATCATACTCAAAAAAATCTAGACTACACTATGTTGTTTATATGGCATTTTAAAAACAAAAGATTGTTATATACTGGCTAGTCAGATTCTCAACCAATTAAAATAAAAAAAAATAAAAAAATAAAATTACTTAATTGTCACACAATTTGGACAATTAGATTCTTTTAAAAATCTATTTAAAATTATTTAATGTTTTAAAAAATGCTTATTATTTTCAGATTCTGCTATTTTACAGCATTTAAAAAGTTTGAAGATTAACAAAAATCAATTAATTTTTATTATTAAATTTTATTATTCAGGGCCATTTTTACCTAACTGTCATTTGGGGACATTCTTACAGAGGCCATTTTTTCCGGGACAGTTTTATCCAGGTGATTTTTTCAGGGACCATTTTTTCCGGGGCCATTTTTACCGTAGAATAAGTGATGCATCTACACAAGACTTCGATGTCACCACTGCAAACAGTAGTCCCCTATTGTATGAATTTGTCTGTATGCAAGTTTCTGTATTGATGTGAGTGACAAGTGTTCTGTAGACACTTGGAACGTGGCAGAAGGATTAAGGTGGCTTAATTCTCACTTTAAAAATAAACTAACACCATATTGTAGCTGCAGACTTGAGGATATGTGGCTCTGGCTATTCTAACACTAGAGAATTTACAACTTTCCACTTCCTCACAAATGTATTTTACTACACCACCCAATCTTCTGCTTCCATGACCAGCTCTTGTTACCCCTCCCAAAACCAATGCCCCTGTCCCCACTTGAACTTGATCCTGTTTTACGATCAGTTCTATCCAATATACTTTGCTATAAAAAAGTTATTTCAGATGATACAATATTAATATAATTAAATAAGGTCTCCATCTAATTTTGGGGTTTTGATGGTCTTATAGTGAAACTGGTGATTAAATTATTAAAAATAAAAATGGGCATTCATTTGTGAGGGTTGCAGAAAAGTTGTCCACATTTATTTTATTTATTTCAAATTTTGATTATAGGGAGATTTAGAAAAGCAAAAGTCGTGGAAAGGGACGGTCTGAAATCACTGTTGAACAAATATTGCTATCATTATTATTGCATCACTATAGAGCATAATCACAGATAATTAATATACTGACATTAATCCTACATGGTCTAGACAGGATAATACAGGGGTCTTTGAAATATGTTTTACTGCAACATAATCTTATACATTATAAAAATATTATGATGCGATATGCAATGCATTATGCATTATGCATTACAATATGCATTAAATTAAGTTAAATTGAGTTTTCATAACAATACAGTAATTATAAGAAAACAAATTTTAACCTTGTATTACCTTAGCTTTCAGCCATCTGTCTTTAAGCCTACCAATCTTTATCCAAAGCTTTCTTTTGTTATAAATACCACAAAAATGTATGCAAAATTTTCAAATAACATACACATCCTCTTAGAATTTAGGTATAGTTATTGGCATCTAATTTTTTTTTAGAAAAGATTAATGAAATGGTATACATTTACTGTATTCCTATTCTTCCTATTTTGTGTAAAATCGTATACATTATAGTACTGTAGCTATTAATTGGGAAGATATCACACATTATGAGAAATAAAATTATGAATAATAAATTACAGTATGAATACTGAGCATAAAACAAACAATTGTTGTTTTTTTCTGATCTGACATTTCTGGTCAAAATCAAATTTATGGCATCAATCTAAGAACTATTACATTTTGATCATGTTTTATAAGCTTAGAAGTCGACAATTAATATTATTATTATATCGTATATCATATATTCATAAATTTTGATATTTTTTATTATCAATTCATTTTTGTACATAATGAGACAAATTATAATGAGATATTTTAGAGCATCATGTATGTCTTGTGTAGAGGATTGCCACCTACTGTATTAGGCCAAATGAAAAAAATTACAAGTTTCTCATTCCATCCTCGAGCATCCATTATCTCTGCCTCCCCCTTTTTTTTTTTTGCTTTTTTCCTTTACTTTACGAAATCGTTTGTGGTTGGGGATACATATGGTATGAATCATGTCTAGTGCTTTAATTTGCTTTCAATGTGTCTACTTGGTAAAAGTGAGAAAGTAGTAGCTGTTTCCCATCGACCATCTTGGATTTGTCATCTCGGAGTGAAAAAAAAGTGCCCTCACTCTCCTTTCTTTTTATTAGGACGAGAAACTATTTTTTTTTTTTTTTT